ATCTCTCTGGCCTTTGGTACCACAGGTTCCAGGTTCGGATCCTAGCTGTGGCATGGATGTTTGTTAGTGGTTCAGAATCGTCTTTGAACTGTAGGTCCCGCCCTGTTTAGCCCTCGTGTGGACAAGATGACCGCAGAGCGACAAACCAAAACAAAACGGTACGAAAAAGAGTCTGATCCAGAGATTATGACGGCAGCGCAATTAGGCCCTATCAGACGGAAGTTCTACACTTAGGGGTTCCGTTTGCTTATTTAGCGATTTTCTCCAAGACAAAATGGCCGCTTTTGTTAAATGTAAATATGTACATTACGGCGATTCCATTTGGCGCGGAAAAGAGATTTGGCAAAATTGTAACCTTAAAGTGCAGAATCTCCTGTTAGACATTGGCATCGAGAGGACAGTCTAATGGATGAGATGCATATTCCCTGGCACTTTGTTCCCTATTACAAAGAATACCCAAGTTAATAAATATCGTAATATTTATGAACGGAACTCATTATCACAATGAATAAATTCGTAGGATTATCACTATCATTAAGATTTAAAGATTATCACTACGAAAAGTTTCGAGCATCACGAGCCAACGACTTCTGTTTATTTCTATAACAGACGTACACTTACCGTTTTTCTGTTTTTAAATAGTTCTCCTTTCGTAAGCCTAGTGATATGATTTTTAATTTCTTAAATATTAAAATTGATTGAAATCTAGTACCCCTGAGAAAGTCACCAATCTTTAAACCCGGAATGTTTCAACAATTTCTTTAGGGTTATGTTGATCTAATGCAATTGGCATTACAGATACAGTTAATCTTTATGTCATAAGCAAGGGCTGCACCTGTTACTCATTTAGCACTACCCAGGGGCACATGTAGCTTGAAGATATGCTACGGACGCGAGTAACACTATTCACACAACACTCTATGATCCTATTAGACCGGGACCTACGGTTTAAAGTGGATTCAGAACTACTACAAACATCCATGGCACCGCTGGGATTCGAACCCGAAATCTGTGGTACCGAGTGCTAGATCTTTAGGGTTATAATAGTTTTTATTTAGAGGAATTAGTTATTTCTCTTTTTTTCAAACAATATAATGTCTGATTTAATGTTACTTTAATTGTTATTTTTTTATTAGAACAGAAATATATCCTTTATATAAATAATTATATCGTGATAATTGTTATAATGGTATGTCGGCAATGATACAGAATATAAGCAATTGTTATGATGTTGCCACTCATGAAAATATGAAAAACCCCCTTTTTTACTTTATTAAAGGCTCGTTCCCACCGAGGCGTGAGGCGGCGAAGTGTCACGCGGCAGGGATCGACCCGTTCACACCGAAACGTTAGAAGTCGCTTTACACCTAGTGAAGTTCCAGCTACTTCTACTAGATGGCAGATCTATTATTGGCTCAATCCAAGTTATATGACGTGAAAAGCATTTGAGAGTTTAAAGTGGGTCAATTTGAAGCGGTGGATTTCAACCAGTTTCAGGCGAATGCGGTGAGGCTAGTGATTGGTCAACGCCTCGGTGGTGAATGAGCCTTAATACCTTATATTTGATTATCAAATGATTAATGTTTTACTACTGCTGATATAGTAAAGGTTTTGTGGCAACTATTATTTCAATTAGCGGGAATTTTTAGAACGAAACGTTGATTTACGAACACCAGTACGATCATTTTCTTAAATTTCCCTGTTGCTTTTTGCTGTTGTCCACGCTTTCTTCCTTTATTTGATGTCGCCTTATGATGATGATACTGCATGACAGGTGAGTGGAATAATATACGTTATTATTAGCTAAAAAAATGGACGAAAGGGTTTCTGAATTCTTTTTTTTTTTTTTTTTTTTTATGAATGAATAAATTGGATTTGAATGCAGTGCATTTGAAGGAAAATGTATTCGTTTCTAATAAGTATGGATGCCTATTGCGTAATGGCAATAAATTTTGGCGTATTAGTGAATTATTATGGGGCAATAACGATTAATTTCATTGTTATGAATTTGCATTTTGGTGATTTAATAGAACAAAATTCGCGTAATAATTGGCGCTAAAGCAATAGAATTTGGTGTAAAAGCAAATTTATGAATAAATTTTCGCTTAGTGATAAAATTTGGCGTTAAAACAATTTAGGAATACGTTTTTAGCATAATAGTGATAAAATTTGGCATTAAAACAATAAGATTTGACGTAAAAGCAATTTAAGAATAGAAGTTGATCTAATAGCGGTTTGGTAATCATTGTTATTCTAATAGCGTTTTAAAACGAAGACTAACTGCGGCAGCCATTTTGTTAGTTTACTTGACAATTGGTAGTTCTTAGTGGTTTTGTTAGTTTACAGAGAATTGGTAGAAATATTTCAAGGTAAAAATCTAGAATCCTGTACTCCTGGCGCAAGGGGTACACGATTCTGTATCCCTTGTGCTAGGGGTACCTGGCACAAGGGGTACAGGATTCTGTACCCCTTTGTGCCAGGGGTACAGGATTCTAGATTTTTACCTTCAAATATTCCCCGTCCTACAGTTCACATGATTCCAATATTTTCTCTTTCCCAATTTGGAAAATTATGCTTTCTAGAGGTATGGTTCTTAGGGTTACATTTATATATTTTCTGCACAGTTTATGCGGTATTGAGTAAACAGCTTGTAAAAAACAATTTAAACCATTTTTTTCTTCATACAAGTATTTACTTCCTATTGCTCTTGTTCATAATCCAAACGTGGACAAAATATTTTAGTAAAACATCGTAAGTAGTATAAAGTAATTTTCAACAAATTAAAAAAAAATGTCTTTTGCAATAACGAATTTTATTTTATTAAATCGGACTTTGATACTTATTTATATTGTGTTTGTTTTTTTGTTTTGGAATAATTTTAAAAAAATGCCAAAAAGTTGTGAACTTGATCATTTTAATATTTTCTTTTTCATATAATACTGTTTGATTATATCAATTTAATATTCTTAATTTAAAAATAGTTGAAATTGCATATTTAAAAGTAATTTTTAATAAAAATAGTTTTTAAAACATTATTTAAAGATTTACATATTTCTGCTTGCGTACGGGTTTAAAAAACATTTAGGAGAAAAAAAACCCCGATTTCTGTAAAATTTCTTCGATCAGTTTTAATTATAAAGTATCTCGAAAGAAAAAGATTCTGCTTTAAAATTCAAGTATGTTAAATGTTTAATGAATTTTGAAAATTCGAGCTTCATGCTGTTCTTTTACACATCAGACTGATGAAAATTCTTACATGTGCGAATAGTAGTAGTTATATTTTCACATATTTAAAAATAAATTATTTTTTGCTTCGTGGATTAGTTTTAACTATCGTTAATTAAAACTAATCCATGAGACTGTTTTCTTGATAACATTAGATGTAATTTATTTTTCATTCAATCGACTTTTTTAATTATTTTGTGTTTTATAAGGCTGAAGCAATTTTGGTTTATCTTCTCGTATATAAAGGTTCACTTACTATACCATGAATAGTTCCTTATTGTTAAAGAATGAATTACTTCTTATCGCGAAATCTTTCAGAACTAACTAGCCTGAAGTATGGGTTAAAAATCCGTAAGCAATCCAATTAAGATGCTAGACGTATACAATCAGTGAATCTTATTTTTAAAGTAGCGACAGTAAAACATCAACTAAAGGAAATAAAACCTCTTTCAGTTGCTACTAATTTATAATGCTCCTTAATCTCAATTACCAATGCGATGTTTGGATTTTTTTTCACTATCTCAGTGTTGAAAAAGTTGATATTAAATTCTCACATCTAGTTTACTTTTTAACAGATATGTTTCCAATATAATAGATGAATTAGAGAACAGCGCATTCATTTTTAACATATAATGAAATTGTGGCAATTCTTACTTTTGGAAATGAAATGGATTCTTCCAAATTAAGGTTTAAAATAATAGTTAACACTCGATTGCTGACTTCAAAAAATTTACATCATTGCTGTTGTCGTATATCACATCTGTGAGATTCATGATATATCAATTTTTTACACTATTACTTCAGGGAAAATGGGGCTAAATAACTAGAAATAATATTCCGAACAATTGATATTAATAAAAAAATGAAATATAAAAATGGAAAAATAACTACATAAATACTGTCCTTGTATCTTTGAGACACATGGTGCGGTATTGTTCAAAAGAACATTATTTTTAGAAAAACTGATTAATCTGATTAATTAGAATAAAACCACAAAAATACAGGTACAAAACAAAAATTCAAAAATAATTACAAAAAAAAAAAATGATTAAAAAATACTTACGAATCTGCTGTCGTCGTATCCGAGACATAAAGGTGTGGTGATGTCAAAAGCCTTCATTTTATTTGAACAAAAACTAAACTGACCTCTGGCACTCCTACTATGAAGATAGTGGGAAGGCTACTTCCACACTATGAATAACCTTGCAGTCAGCAAAAATTTTACCGTGTGTCTCAGGGATACAAGACAGTAAACGAGTGTTAAATGTTGGTTTAAAAGTGAAAATGTTTTATTGATATGGAAATCTTTGATCGTTTTTTCATATTTTTTGAGGACATACTTATTATGTACGTATTTAGGCTATTTTGGGTTATGTATAATAACAATAGATTTAAATATAAATTAATTATTATGTAAAATAACGGATATTATTTGTGAGATTAATTAATACTTAATAGCAAATAAAGTTTGTCATATGTATGTGCAGTGTTGTTTCTTATCCCACTTGACTGGGCCAAGCCCACGAGCCCATACGTACTCATGATTGAAGGGGAAGGAAGCAGCTTCTGTTGTGATGGAGCACCCCGTAGGTAGAAGTCTGACTTTGGCTCCGTGACGCTCTTGCAGACATAGGAGACCGGGACCTACGGCTTAAAGTGGATTCCGAACCACTACAAACATCCATGGCACCGCCGGGATTCGAACCCGAAACGTGTGGCACCGAGCGCCAGAGCGCTAGACACTCGTCCATTCAGGTCCCAAATGTGTGAATGCCAACGGCACGCGGTGTTCCAGGTGGTCACCCACCCAAGTACTGACCGCGCCAAATGATGCTTGACTCTCTAACGAGAACCGGTCTATTCAGCATGGTATGGCCGTTGGCGTCATATGTATAGCTTGGAAATACTAAATTTAATCAATGCTTATTAATAGGCGGGGAGGGCTAATTGACTGAACGGTCAACTTACAAACCTAAGAATGCCTACCTACATCGTCACCCTGTACCGAGGATTCGTATTCTTTTTCAACAGTAATAATGAAGACTGGGGTCCTTCAATAAATAAGTTTTTAAATAAGTAAAATGGAATTAATTCAATTATATTGGTGAAAAATTAAATTCTCAGACCCAGAAGAAATTAGTTCAGAGGAAGGAAATTTAGGCATGCCTAGGCAACATATTTATTTAAGTTTCAACTTCACAGGTTAACATATACGCAAAAAGATTCATTTCAAATGTGAAATAGTGGTACATTAATAGCTGCCGTAGTCGCCACGATTTTGAATGCATGCATGCAAACGTGCATGCATTACGTCGTACAGGGGCCGTACGACATTTTGGAGGGATTCATTGCGAAAAAAGGAAATGAAAAAGAAAAGTTAAAAAGAAAAGAAAAGAAATTAAAAAAAATACATTGTTTAATTGTATAATTATTAGCTCGTGAGGAAATTAAAAGAAAAAAAAAAAGAAACATTGAAAGTCATCCAGGTCGCCACGAACCCCTCTCCCCAAAAACAGTTCCCATAATACATCATACATGCCATAATCTTTTATAATTAACAGGTATTAACTGCACATTACCTGTTTGTAGAGATCGTGATGAGAACCGTATTGGAAGCAATCAGAAATACTTGAGAAATGATTGGAACATTTTAAATATTTTCAGAATTAAAGAAAATTTGATTAACACACTGAAAAGGTTACGGAAGTTGAGATATCATCAAAGAAAATAAACAAGAAGCTGCAATGAAAGATATCATCAAAGAATTATGCGATGGTAAAGCGTCTGGAGAAAAAGGTATTATTTATTATGAGCTATTACATTTGGGAGGAAATAAACTTCATTACATATTGTTTCACCTGAACAAAGAAATATAGGAAAGATAAATCATGCCAATCATACGAATCATGTCATAGAATTATTATTTCCCATACATACGAAGTGAAATATAACTGAATGTCATAACTACCAAAAAATTTCTTTATTTTGATTTATAAATACTTAACTAAAATCATTGTTAAGGTGTCATTTACTGAAAAGCTGGTAGGATATTACCAGTGTCGGTTTAGTTCAATAGATCTATTATAAGATAAAATTTTTCGTATTAAAAATATTCTCGAAACATTTCTTGAACAGAATAAAAGGATATATCAACTTTATATGTTTTAGGCCAGCATACAACACAATTTGTTGATTTTAGGCTAGCATATGACACCATTTGATAGGAAACAGCATTTTAAAATTATGAATGAATCTGGCGTTCCGGATAAAATTGCTAGACTTGTTATAATGAATTTCACATCAGCTGTCGCTAAGGTTAAAGTGCAAATACTTCCTCTCGAGAGTTTAAAATTATGACTGAATTATGGCTGAAGGGGGATTTACTCACTATAATTCACTTCAACCTTTGCAATGAAAAGGTTATGCTAACTCCCTGTCAAATAGGGAGAAACCTTTTCAACCCCATTACACACATTTTTTGCCTTTACTAATAACAGGATCCATATTGCTGGCAATAAAAGTATAGAATTATTTAAAAAATGGGAAAAAATTTGAGGCAAAAGTTTTTGAATTTAATGTCTTTGGGCAGAAAAGGAGCCAATGAGAAGATTGTTTTTGTAAAAAAATAATTTAAAATTAAAATTTTTGAGTTTAAAGATCTAGGGATAGTTATTAAGGGAAAAAAAAAAAATGAATTCGGAAATCAAAGCTAGACTTGTTCCAGGTTATAGCATCTTATTAAACCTGGAAAATATACCCATCTGAAACTACCTCAAAAACATATAAGACTATTATTAATCCAGCTTTAATTTATGACATGGGGATATTGATCCTAAAAAAAAAAAAAATTGTTTGTTATTTGGAAAAGAAAGATTTTGGGAGGATTTTCGGATTTGTCCAAGGAGTTTTAAAAGTCTGAAACAATAGTGAAATACAAAAAAAACAACAACAACAAGAGAAAGGATGTTATAAATAGAATTATGTCTAGAAAAATGAAATGGTCAGAACTTTTGGAACGAATGAAAGCTTGAGCGCCAAGCTGGTCGTGGGCGAGCTGTACATGGTGGACAATAAATTGTCCACCACGAGCTATTATGCCAAACATAATTGTGAAAGATCATTTAAAGACACTTTCACTTAAAATTCCAAGCTATTTTTCTACTTTTATAAACATTGCAGTGATATCAAAAAATTGGCAATGGTTGTATTTACTTAACTTTTTGAACACTTCATACTTTTACTTTTTTTTTTTTTTTGCTTAAAAATCTGTTTATTTGTGGTACTTTCGTTTCGGTTTATTAAATGATTTACTTTAAAGAAATACAAATGTTTCAAAAATAAACCACACAATTTTCAGTAATTTTTGTCATCTTTTTAAATAAAATACTTTGTTTCTAAACTTTTAAATGTATTTACATATAACAAATACCTAAAAGTAAAAATAAGAAATATAATATCAGTTATTTTTTTAACCTAAATATTTAAGTAAATATATTAGGTTTAGAAATATTGATGTAATACATAAATCCTATTATTATAATGAAGAAATAAAGCATTTTTGTTCGGTAAAATTTGTTGTATCTCGCAATAATTTCGCAAATAACAATTATAATAATATAAATGAAATATTGAAAACATCGCAATATTAGGCAATTATTTAAAAAAAAAATGAATATGAATTAAAATATTAATAAAGCACTTTATGTATCAATAAGAATATGCATAGCCTGTGCCACTAAAACACAAAGTTTATTGTGTAGTATTTTTATTCAGACGCATAAAGTAAACATTTTGAGAACTCTTTCACAGAATAAATTCGTATCTTCGAACTCTATTATCATTTCCTTTTATACGAAAGATAACCATTATGTTTGCAGTGTGTTTGCTCAAGGGAGAAGTTATCTGGTGAAAAGAGTTCCTTCCCCTTTGCCGGATTTGAATGAAATAACAACCTTTGAATGCATATCGAAAGGGTTTTCCATTATGCTTAGCAACACTTCGGACTTTGCAAAATGCTTTTAGCGAATGAATTAAGCACCTCGTACAAACACTGATTTGGTAATTTAAACAAGTATTCATAAAATAAATCTGTTATTGGTGTTAGGAATACAAAAAATTATTCGTGCAAATGACTTTTTTTTTCTGCAGAAAAGTTTAATTGCGTGGGATATAAGTAAATTAATGGTTTGTTTAACAACAGTTCTTGTTAGATAAATGCTTTCAAATATTGCCATTGATAAAAGTTTTAGATAATGAAAATATAAATATTTAAGTAAATATAATAGGTCTAGAAATATTGATATAATACATAAATCCCTATTATTGTAATGAAGAAATAAAGCATTTTTGTTGTGTAAAATTTGTTATTTGCGAAGTTATTGCGAATGTTTGTTGTTTTATTATGTAAAATTAAGCTATTTTGAACAATTCCATGTAAAATTGTTTCATTTATTATCATTCAAAATTTAAAACGGCTTTCTTATTTTTGAACTACATTATAAATATAATTATCTATTCAATTTCTTTACGGTGTCTCACAACAGTTTCGGCATAAAAGTGCAATTAAAATAAATTATTAAATGAAATAATGAGAATTTGTTGTTTTCTGAACAAATTAAAATTCATATATTTTTGCATTTTATTAAAATTAAAAAAAAATATTTAGATAAAATTCGCTATAAATGCTATTACGAAGAATTGAATACTCACAAAAGAAATAATAGCAATAAAATGTTGAGTTGGTTATTAAAAATATTTTTAGTATATGGATAAATGTTGATTTTAAAACGTTTTAACTTGGTTGGGTATGGTTCCAGGTAAAAGATCAGAGATCTATTTTGTTCGATTTTTCTTGCATTACATATTTTCGCTACTGCTTTGTGGTAATGTTTTTTCCTAATTCAACTTATTGTATTGATTTACTAAACTGAATTCTACAGATTTAGTTTCGAATATGACTTGTTAGATTCAAATTCGGTGACTCAAGTGTTTCATAACTTCTTTGTAGTTGTAAAGAAACCTCAATCAATATTTAAGTTGTAGACATAGGCTCGATATACTAATAGAAATTGAAGTGACTTTTTAGAGTGAATTTTTGGATGATTTCAAAATTTAATGGAAGGTTTCAACTTGCCAGTTGTTAGTTATTTATCTATGGTGGCATCAATAAATTTGAATTTACCTTCTTCAGAGTACGGAATGCAACTCCTCTTACCTGTAACTATTCCTCCGCCATGTTTAACATTTGAAGTTTTCTTTTTGGAATTCTTCTTTCTATTTTCTACAAATTATATAATGCGATCACTGGTTTAAATTTATAAATTTTGCTTCAATCAACAAATATAACAATGTTTCAATACTTTAAAGAACATTTTTCTATGTTTTTAACAAAATGAAATTAGACACTTTCAATCCCTTTTATTAAATAATAATTTCATTCTTAATACCTGGTCAATACATCCAGCTGATCGAATTATTCGTCAAACTGTTTTTGGAGTTGTACCCTATTTCATCAAGGGCCTCTCTGATTGACATCTCTGACTGGCATGATTGCATCTCTGATTGACATCTTTGGCTGGCATGATTGACATCTCTATTCGTAATCTTTGTAGCGAACAATCTTTCTTTTCTTTTTCGAAAGAAAATTGTATCATTCCGTTACAAAAGTTCGTTGGCTACCCAGATTTTGATCAATAACTTAATTTATAATTGTTTTTATAAAGCTTTATGATAGAAAAAGTTACTAAAACTCTTACTTAAAAAAAAAAAACATACTGCCAGAAAAAAGTTATCATTTTTCCTAACTCTAAATTAATAATTAATTTGGGAATTTCTAACAGAATATAATTTGCTAATCAATCATATGCAGCAATATTTAATT